CATTTTAAGTGTCAATCCAAAATCAAATGTTTGAAGTACTTGTTTATTTTTTTAAATTCAAGTTCCCACAATAACATGCAATCATAATTATATTGCATTATATATGATTGCTATCCAGTGGTGAAATTCAATTTTGTTTACTACCTTTTCTGTGGGCGTGGCTTGGTAGGCGTGGCAGGGGAAGGATACTGCAAAATCCACATTCCCTACCTACTTCTGGGGGGAGGATATTGCAAAATCTTCATTCCCACCCCACTCTGGGGCCAGCCAGAGGTGGTATTTGCTGGTTCTCCGAACTACCCAAAATTTCCACTACTGCTTTTCCAGAATCTGCCAGAACCTGCTGAATTCACCACTGTTCCTATCATACCTGTAGATGGGTCCACTTTGAAAAGGGAAGAAAAATATCCAGGAATCAGTTTATATGTCACAGTTCCATATATCCCAGAATCTTTATCTGTAGCAAGAAGTTTAGTTATTTCTGTTCCTGGCTGTGTATGACTGCTGATGTTTATCACATAAATTACAGGGTTGAAGACAGGAAGATTGTCATTTATATCTTCAATTACTATGTGAACAAAAGCTTGGGCACTTAGTCCACCCTGTTAAATCAAAAATCAAAAAATATTGTAAGCCATTTTCACGTATAACAAACAAACACCCCTAAATTGCTAGAGATCAGTTAATCTAAGACAGGGGTCCTCAGACTATGGCCCGGCAAAGCCATTAAGCTGGCCCGCGAGGAACCACAAGGCTGCCCCACCCACATTGCCCCACCCACATTGCCCACCTACCCACATCCACCTTCTGGAGGCCAAGGAGACCAAAAATGGGATGCGTGGAGGTCTCCCCAGGCTCGAGAGAGAGAAAGGGAGGGAGGGAGGGAGGGAGAAAGAGAGAGATGGGCACAAGGCAGCCACATCCCTTCACTAACCTGCTTTCCACACCCAGGAGCATAACAAATTAAAGTTTAATTTGTGTGTATTGTTTAATGGACTGCTAAATTGGCCATGGCCACCTGGTCACATGACCATCTAGCCCCACCCACCCAGTCACATGACCATCTAGCCACACCCACCCACCCAGCTCATCCCACCCCAACAGTCTGACTGTGAACTTGCCCCCTATTTAAAAAGTTTGAGAACCTCCAATCTAAGATATCTTAAAAGACCTCTGGATACCAATGTATGAGAAAATAATATACTTGCTTACTTTAAAATATTTTAAAACAATAAGCCCATCACAGTCAACATCAATACTTATGGCACTTCCTCAACCCAGTTTCAGAAAATGGTACCACAGGTTTAGAGGCAAAAATAACTTGATCCAATAGAAAAAATACCAAATAGTTCTTTTCTATAGGAAACCTTGGGCATCCTTTCATAGCACTGTTTCTATTCCCCAATTCCTCTAACCCATTCTGAAATTATTTGCACAATTATATGCACTTCTGCACACCTCAGAACGCAAATAAAATGAAGGGAAACTATGTACTGGTCAGAGTTCATTTCCAATTGGCTAGTTAAAGACTGCAAAAAATATCATCCAAGCAGCAAGTTCTGAGCTATCGGGAATCTGGAACAACATAGTCAATGAAAAAAGAAATGAATTGGCAGCATTCCCTCCACCCATTCACCAAGCTCTTATTATTTCTAGGAAATCCAGTAATTTGTGGTCCAATTTTTATGTTTTCTATTCTACATAAGTATGGGGTTATTTTAGCAAATTCTATCATCTCTATTATAGGTATAGCTAAATCTTTCAATCTTTTTCTATACAATGTTTTGCAGCAGATATCATATATGCAAATAAAGTTCCATTATTTTTTTCCAACTGCTTATCCATCAATCCCAAGAGGAAGACTTCTGGTTTCAGTGATATTTAATATTTAAAATCTTCCAAATCAGTGTATGCATTTGAAGCCAAAATATTTGAGCTATTTTGTTTGCAGGCAATGCAAACAATCCCTATGATCAGAAATCCCAATTACTATCATTAACTCAAGGATTACCTGTATCTATTTCTTATCTGGAATATTTTGTTTTATTATGAATTTTTCTTTCTTAATTAATTTTCAGGTTGCTGTTATTAGTGTGATATGTACAACTCGGTAATTATTTTCTTTCAGTATTTCTTTTGTAACCAAAAGATTTATTTACAAGGAATATATGGCCTCATATATATATACCTTCCTAGGGAAGAAAGGCAGGAATAAAGAGCATTTGAGATTAATGAACACATAAACAAAGAGCAGGAAGAACGTAAGGGAATGCAGAGCGAATTCCTTTCTCTCTATCTATGGCCCGCTGGTCCTTATATTCAATAGGTTGTGAGATGCGGACTAGGGTATCTGAAGCACATATTCAATAGATAGATGGAAGGTTTAAGCAGCTATCAGCATTATCCTTTAATGAACCTTTCAATTTTTTTTCCTTCATTGGTTTCCTATGATCACATCCTTTAAATTGCCTTTCTGTAGCTGTAAGAATTTTTTAAGAGTGAAACTTACCCCATCAATGGCTTTTACTAAAAAATCATATGTAGATGGATCTTCTTCCCTGTCAATATCCTGAGACACGTATATACAACCACTGTTTAAATCAATGTCAAATGCTTCTGGTTTTTCATTGCTAAGGAATCCATTATAAAGAAAATATTCAATGTATCCAAAATGGCCTGAATCTTGATCTGTTGCTTTGACCTACAGTAGTACAAAGAAAACAAAATCTAATTAATTCTTACATACCTGTTATCCAAAACAATACTTAAGCAGGCAATGTCTGTATTTCTCCAAGATTAGTCCATATCTCTTTGGCCTCATTTTACCTACTTTTTTTTTGGCTATGGGCCTTTTATTTTCTGCTCAGCTCCATGAAATAGTAATTAATCCAAAGATAGATTTCATCTGGAAACACAGAAAGCTGCAGAGCTTAAATTAGGGCAGTTTATTCATGCAAGGAACCCTTAGTTTAATTCTTCCACTTAGTACAGGGGTATCAAACTCGCGGCCTGCAGGCTGGTTGCATCATGTGCTGGCTCCACCCTGCCCAGTTCAGCGAAGGGGAAATTAGTCCCTATACGCCACATGACGCTGCCGTGACGACGTATGTTTAACACCCCTGACTTAGTATCTCAAGTTTAAGAATGCTGGCAAGACAGCTTCACATCTCCACCTCAATAGGCTAGGCAAAGAATACTAGCAAGTAGTGAAATTGACAAAAATCTGCCAGTTTTTTGCTCTCTGCAGCGGATAAATTGCCTACATAGTGCCAGATTATTTAGATTTTTTTTAAAAAAATAGTCTCTTTTTAAGTGCCGAATATGGATTAAGAAATTTTTGTTACTGTAAAAATCTATCGCAATTCATAAGGGGTGATTACCTTTAAATCTGTGTGAAGTTGAAATAGTTCTGGAATCTAATGCTGTGATATCAACTATAATAGTCTTTGTGGTCTATTCCAAATATAATGTTTTTGTTGGAAGAAAAAGTCCTGGATTTGGACCTGGATTTGGGTCGTAAATAGACATGCTGGGCAGCTGCTTGAAAAGAAGGGTAGTTTTATTCAACAGTGTTATACCAGCCAAAGGTAGGCTACAAAATTATAATGCTAAAAGTGGTAGTACTTATAATAGATTTTAATTGTGGAGTACTGGACTTTGAGTGAAGTATATCAGACATGCACATTTTCACATCCAAAAAGCACACACAGGTAACTGATTCAGCAGAATTCATTAACTTCACTTTATATATAATATAACACACATTTAGTACAGGGGGTAGTAAATACAAGCAAAACACAAGCAGAGGAGAGAACAATTTCAGCTTCAGTTAAGAGCAGCAGATTTTAGAGCTCAGCATAGACTCAGAGCTACAGAACTAAGCCACGCCCAGGCTCCAAACTGTTTCAGCTCCCATTGGCTCACCTTGCTACTAAGCTTCATTCCAGTTCATGAATACTACACTGGCAAAATTGAGGAGTTCCTGTTCTGGAGCATGTGAAGTCCAGAGAGGAAGATCATTTCTGGCCTGTGGAATACGTTGGTCTTAAATGTGCAGATCTTTTCCTAGGTGTGGATTTTTATGAGGGGTCCGGCATTGCGGTGCAGCGTTGCGATATTTCCCTTATCTTAAAGAGGATTCTGTTTTATGCATGTATGCCAGTGCCAGCTGACATTTGGAGAGGCGCTTAATCACTTGCATTCCAAGTGTCCATGTCAGCAAAAATAAAAATAAAAAAATAAAGCAGTTTATTTGTATCATTATTTTGAGGTTGCCAGTGCAGTCAGCAGTTTTTGATGTGTGATTAGCAGAGATGACAGGAAAGTTTTCAGCTTCCAACAACATTTTAGAAGCAAAGTCTCAATTATATTTGTGCTATGTTTATAATTTTACGATAAAATAATATTGTAATAAACTATTTTATGTTAGGGCTGAGAGAATGTAAATATTCTATATAAATTGTTGTGGCCCAATAGGAGCCGTTGGAGCTGCCACCAGACTCCGACAGCGAGGAGCCCTATGAGTCGGCTCTGGAGGATGTGGAGGACCCTGGACAGGGTTCCGAATCCGAGCAGGGCGCAGAGAGGCCGGTTGGCCACCAGGAGGCGCCTGAGCCTTGGACTAGTGGGGAGGAGACAAGGGAGAGTGAGCCTGCCTGAGTCCAGCAGTGAGTTTTTCCTGGATGCCCGGCATCGAAGAGCTAATAGGCATAAGGAACAGTTGCGCAATTACAGGAGGTAATTGCACTCAGCTTCGGGGCACAAGGCCGGCCGGCTGCCTCTTTTCCACAGAGGC